CATTACAGATTTCCCCCAGGCTGAGATTAGCATCTGTAGCCGCTAATGCTGCAGAGCAGAGGGAAGTCTGTGAGGACTCTCGGGGAGGAAACAAAGTGAGGGCTTTCTGCTGAACAATACCCTGAAACACTATCAAGAAGCTGCAGTTCAGAGGGTTCAAACGCAGCCATAAAGCACGCCTTCAAGCTGCTGCAATTAGACTGCCACTTCAAATTACTATCAATCTGTTGGAGCAAATGATATTGATTTTACGGCCTAATTTGAGGTGTAGTTTAAGGGTTGTTGTAGAGAGTATTATCACTTGTTGGGAACAGACACACAGTTATTCATATCTAGAAATAATGCGTTATTAAACCACAATCCTGCAATAAATCCTCCCTGGGATTGATGAGTAAAGGTGTGCAGGGGCGGACTGGGACTAAAATTCAGCCCTGGAAACTGACCCAGTCCGGCCACATGAAATGTCAAATGTTAGAAATCCGCTGTTTATTGTTTAAAGTTTTACGTCCGACTCGCTCCTTTTTCCCTCTCTGTGCACAGCTCCAGTTTGGGCATCGGCCTGTCATCAGATTTCATTTTGAGCTGCTTCCTGTAGCGGAAGTTTAGTAAAATTATTTTTGATGAAATACTCCAAATCTCCACCCTCCATAATTGCACTTGCTTCAGTTGCTTGCTACTTTTTAAGGGCAGTGATGACAGTTACAGTACGAACTGAAGTTGATGCGATTTGATTGGATTGTGAGGCATGACGTGCATCATCTGATTGGTCAATCCCTCAATTCTTTTCACCAAGGGAAGCCAATTGTGGCTGGCCTCCTCTCGCAACAGAGAGTGCAATCTACTGTTTCACCATAACATCTAGAGGGGCGCTGTTTCACTCTTTGTAAAATACTCAATGAGAATGGGGGAGAGACGGGCCGGCGGAATAATTACCGAAACTAAACGAAGTGTTTTTATGTATTTATTAAAATGATAACTACAATCCAAAAAAACAGGGGAAGCCTGGCATCCCTTGGCCTCCAGGAGAAAACGCCACTGAGTTCAAGGGATAATTCTCACCCACCTCTTGCTCTTGCCCTGCACGTGTGCCAGTTGAGCTGGTTCTTCCACCAGCTCAACTCTCTGTCCCTCATTATGAACGCAGGAGGCTGGCTGTATATCTGAACTCACGCCCTCATCATTCTCTTCATCATCTTGCACTTGTTCTAAGCTGCTGCTGATAATGCTCGTAGCAGCGCTGCTGCCAAAAAGGTCTGTCAATTTGCGACATGTATATGCTTCACCTGCGAGTGACTTCATCTTTTTTGTTCTCGCCTTCTCGGCCCCACCTTTTTCTTTTCGTTTTCTTTGATTTGTATCCATGTTTTTTTATTCTTCCTGTCTGCCGCGGCGTCTAATCCCTTCTCTTCGTGTGGCCGGTCTTTTTTCTTCTTCGTGTGTTGTTGACAGATAAGAACCACACAACTGCATTAGCGGCCGCTGTCGCCCGTCAGCGCAACTTAAATGATGCCGTTAAACAATTTTTTTTTTTAAAGGGCCGGCCGGCCGTCAACGGCCCTTGACGACCGGCCGTTCTGTGGTTCTCCAGATTCTACAGATGGCCAGTCCGCCCCTGAAGGTGTGTCTATTAAACCGGTAACTTGCTGAGTGTTATATATTTCTATGTGTCCTAAGCAGCCTTGGTGATCCATGCTAAAATCCATATGAGTCAAAGACGTTTGGAGATGTAGCCTACTATTAATAAACATTTGATGTCTCACCAAATATATGTTTAAAGATCAAACATTGCTGGATCAAAATGAGAAGAAATGCAGGTTTTTCCGTCTTGCTGAGTGTTATATGAGATGATAAATGCTCCTCTCATGTATGCATAATATATATGAAGCAGCTGGTTAGCTTAGCTTAGCATACTGAAAAAGGAGAAAACAGCTAGCTTAGCTTTGTCTAGAAGTAAAAACCTACACCTACCATCATCTCTAATAATCACTATGTTATGTGTAATGTATTTAAGATGTATAAAAAAGGGAAATGTACATATTGTGATGTTACAGAGTTTAGTACATGATTCTTTTTGGGACTTTAAAGGTGGGATAGGTAAGTTTGAGAAACCGGCTCGAGATACACTTTTGTTATATTCCTTGGAATGCTCTTAACATCCCGATAGCAATGAATATTCACACATGTCATCTGTGGAAGCCGTAGTACTGTAAAAAGCACGACCAATCATCTGAGCCGGCTAAAGTAACTGGATGGCCTACCTGCCTGTCAGCCTTCCATCTGGGCACAAACTGATCTCGTGCCCTCATTGGTCATGTGCGCGTTCGTGTGTGTTGGAGGAGGGGCTCTGTGAGGAAGTCTGAAGGAAGAGGCAGATTTTTTCCGGCTGTGTATTTTCAAACTCTAGCGCACTCTAGGAGCTGGTTTCTCCAAAATTAAATACCCCACCTTTAAGTTGTGTTGTAACTGTTAGGTTGCCAGTAAAACATTGCAAACTGTCATATATCTTGCACTTGTTGTGGATTTGAGACCGAAGATTATGTTCTCAGGCTTTTATTTGGGTTGGCTTTAATATAGCCGTAGTTATATGAGCTGTGGCTTTTATTTGAGAATGTACAGTCAAGTAGTAGCTGCCATGGACGGCTCAAACTCAGGATCACTTCTGGAAAGAATCCTAACTACTTTAACTGCAGAAAATACAACTGAAGGACACAGAAGAGATATCAGCCGAAGCTCAGAGTAGTAGAATATCATCTGCAATCCAAGAAAACAACACATATAGTCAGTGATTGTGCTGTTATGTTAAATGTTTGTTGTTTGTTTTTCATGTATAGTGTCTTGATATTTGTCTGTTGATGTTACACATGTAGCAGCTGTGATGCAAGAAGCATTTCAGACTTGATCTGACCATTAAAGTATTATTGTCAAAGGTGGAAAGTAGTGGAGTACAAATACTTAGTTACTGTACTTAAGCACATGTTTCTGGTATCAGTACTTTACTCCACTGCTTATTTTTCTGAAGACTTTTTACATGTTGAACACAAATACCTGTACTTTCTACTTCTTACATGTTGAACTCAAATACCTGTACTTTCTACTTCTTACATGTTGAACACAAATACCTGTACTTTCTACTTCTTACATGTTGAACTCAAATACCTGTACTTTCTACTTCTTACATGTTGAACCCAAATACCTGTACTTTCTACTTCTTACATGTTGAACCCAAATACCTGTACTTTCTACTTCTTACATGTTGAACCCAAATACCTGTACTTTCTACTTCTTACATGTTGAACACAAATACCTGTACTTTCTACTTCTTACATGTTGAACTCAAATACCTGTACTTTCTACTTCTTACATGTTGAACACAAATACCTGTACTTTCTACTTCTTACATGTTGAACACAAATACCTGTACTTTCTACTTCTTACATGTTGAACTCAAATACCTGTACTTTCTACTTCTTACATGTTGAACACAAATACCTGTACTTTCTACTTCTTACATGTTGAACCCAAATACCTGTACTTTCTACTTCTTACACTTTGAACTCAAATACCTGTACTTTCTACTTCTTACATGTTGAACCCAAATACCTGTACTTTCTACTTCTCACATGTTGAACACAAATACCTGTACTTTCTACTTCTTACATGTTGAACACAAATACCTGTACTTTCTACTTCTTACATGTTGAACTCAAATACCTGTACTTTCTACTTCTTACATGTTGAACTCAAATACCTGTACTTTCTACTTCTTACATGTTGAACCCAAATACCTGTACTTTCTACTTCTTACATGTTGAACCCAAATACCTGTACTTTCTACTTCTTACACTTTGAACTCAAATACCTGTACTTTCTACTTCTTACATGTTGAACACAAATACCTGTACTTTCTACTTCTTACATGTTGAACACAAATACCTGTACTTTCTACTTCTTACATGTTGAACCCAAATACCTGTACTTTCTACTTCTTACATGTTGAACCCAAATACCTGTACTTTCTACTTCTTACACTTTGAACTCAAATACCTGTACTTTCTACTTCTTACATGTTGAACACAAATACCTGTACTTTCTACTTCTCACATGTTGAACACAAATACCTGTACTTTCTACTTCTCACATGTTGAACTCAAATACCTGTACTTTCTACTTCTTACATGTTGAACACAAATACCTGTACTTTCTACTTCTTACATGTTGAACTCAAATACCTGTACTTTCTACTTCTCACATGTTGAACACAAATACCTGTACTTTCTACTTCTCACATGTTGAACTCAAATACCTGTACTTTCTACTTCTTACATGTTGAACCCAAATACCTGTACTTTCTACTTCTTACATGTTGAACTCAAATACCTGTACTTTCTACTTCTTACATGTTGAACTCAAATACCTGTACTTTCTACTTCTCACATGTTGAACACAAATACCTGTACTTTCTACTTCTCACATGTTGAACTCAAATACCTGTACTTTCTACTTCTTACATGTTGAACTCAAATACTTGTACTTTCTACTTCTCTCATTTTCCAAACAGCTGGTTCCTTTAGTCTGAATGTGTGTTTGATGCGTGATCATTATTCTTTAGAGTCATTGCGTGCCTATTGATTTGAACACGATCCGTGTATCCATCATTTCCTGGTCTTCTCTAAAGAAGAGGGACCAATGGAAACGTTGTCATGTTGCCGTTGTTCAGCATGGAAACATTCATTAGCTAACAATGACATTATTGTTCTATTAATATAAAGGGAGGTCAGGTACTCTTTAAAACAGCTGCTAGTTATGGGTACTTTTTACTGAAGTACATTTCAAAGCCCTCTTTACTTTCACTTGAGTAAAGAAGTTTAGTCAGTACTTCTACTTTTACCAGAGTATTTTTAAACACGAGTATCTGTACTTCTACTTGAGTAAACAATGTGTGTACTTTTGCCATCTCTGATTATCGTATCGTATTGTATATAGATAGCTTGGAGACTCACGTTGACATAATGCACCAGGCTCTCCTGCTCAGCGACTTTGTAGGTCTCGATGCCGTATTCTTTGGCCAATCGGAGGATGCGGTTCTGAGTCGGTCCGATGTAAGACCCGCCCAGATCGACCCATTTTGTCTCCTTATTCTGGAAAACAAAAATAAAGAAAAACACATCACAACTGTGGTCGGAATGTATTTATCAAACGTGAATAAAGAATTAATCCTTCGATTGTCTTTGTCGTATTTTATTCTTGCAAGAAAGTTCAGTCAATCGTACAGAGAGCATACAGTCTGCAGAGCGAAAGAGTAGAGTTTGGGTTTCATATTTAAACACAGAGAGGAGAAAGGAGGGGTGAAGCTCGGCAATGATAACGTTTAGGGAGGCAGTATCAGGATGTTCTCAGTTCACAGAAGGTGAAGGTCAAACTGTTGGTGCACAGAGAGTTTAACTAACAACACTGCAACACATCTTCTTAATAAGGACTTTTCCCAAGCTTAGCAAAGAAGTGAAAGCCAGTAAATATAGATAAACATTAGCCAGTAAGAATCACAGTGTATTCTAAAAGTAAGTGAGTGAGTATAATATGTTTCTATTACAACAACATAACCAGGCGAATCAGAAAGTCCACTCAAGTAACAGATAGTCAAAGTCAAAGTCAACTTTATTGTCAAGAATTCTACATGTTGTACATCCAGAAATATCGAAATATCGTTTCTCGAGGTCCTACAGTGTGACATATATACATCAAACAACAACAAAACAAAAAGGGCCTAGATAACCGGGGAAATGTTAATAATATATTAAAGTGTTCATAATAATAAGATAATGCTGAATAGTACACTGGAAAAAATGCTGCTCCAAATGCACGTTAAACAAAAATGAAAACAAGCAGTTTTCTCTTGAAATAAAACGGGATATTTAGATCAATCCGATCTTGTAATTATCTGGAGAACTCATTCTGAACTATATTTGACCAGAATCAGGACATGTTGTGTTACAAAATAAGCCGCATATGATAACAAGTTTTCTGTGTTCTGATGTTAGCTGGTGATTTTCTAATACATATGTAAAAAAATATGTGTTTCCTCTGAGATACATCTCAAAGTAAGATGTTTTGACTCAACAAGATGATGCATTGTCTAAAAACAAGACCTGATATCTCACTGCAGTGTCACTTCTGAAGTTGGAGTAGAGACATATTCTGACTGGATATTAGACACAGATACTGGGCAAGATTGAGAGCTTTTGTAGTGTATTGTCTGTAGCTAACCCTAACCCTAATCTCAGCGACATCCCTGGTTAAACAAACACTCAAAATAACTCCTTCCCTAAAGTCCTGTGTGTTAACAGCATCTGAGTTAGTGTTAGCTCTCCATCTCTTACCCGCACAGTGAACGTTCGTCCCCCGACCCGATCTCTGGCCTCCAGAACAACAGGAGTCAGTCCATTGGCTTTCAACAGCTTTGCTGCACTCAAACCTGCAGAAGTAAACACAGAGAGGTAAGTAAAACACACACAACACACCTCCCGCACTACATGGGCAAGAGTACACTCAGGCATGGTGGTCATGCAGTCATGTTTGTTTTACATGTGAAATATGTGCAACTGTTGGAGAGGTGTAACTCCTGTCTTTAGTCTTCATTCTGTGTGTGGTGTTCCCACGTTAAAGCTTTCTTTAAAGAAGCGTTTATTCATTTCTTTGTTTACTTTAAGATAGAGAAGATGGATGAAGGGGATTACTTTGAAAATCTTACTAGAAAGATGGATTTTTGTATAAAAGCCAATCCTGTTTCTGTGGAACCATCAATAGTTGCATCAGTGCATGTTTGCCATCCTATTATATACGCTATGCCCAGGTGTAAATAGACACATTGACTCTTGTCTTTAACAAATAGCATTGTTTACTACATGTATGCTATTAGTACCATTAGACACCCGGGTGCAAAGAGCATTGTTAGCGTGTACAGCTATGTGCAAATAGCATTGTTTACAACGAACACCCAGGTGCAAATGGAATAGTACAATAAGGATGCCAGGGTGCAAGTAGCATCATAAGCTACAGACATCCGGGGGCAAATACAATTGATACATACAGCTGTGTGCAATAACATTGTTTACATCAGACACAGGTGCAAATAGCATTGATAGCTACAAACTCCCGGGTGCAGATAGCATCTGCCTTATTTGAATTGAGTTTTTCTGATTTTCTATTGTATAGTTTCCGTTGTACGTCGCCCTAACATGTTCCTCCTGAATGACTTGGTTGGATATTGAGAGTGCTGTGGGTGAGATGGGTGAGATGGGAGAGGGGGAAATATTGCAAAGATAGAGGGGAAGAAACACCACAACAAATCACACACCAGCTGACCTGATGATCATGTGAGCAAAAAGAGAGAAGAGAGCAGACTGACCAATCAACCACAGAGTCTACGGAGGAAATCAGCTTTTCACACACTGACCTCAGGCTAACCCTGCCATAACTTTAATGCAATAAGCCATAACGTAAATACACACACACACACACACACACACACACACACACACACACACACACACACACACACACACACACACACACACACACACACACACACACACACACACACACACACACACACACACACACACACACACACACACACACACACACACACACACACACACACACACACACACACACACACACACACACACACAGTGGATTAGCGTGCAACAGAGCAGAAGACGTTTAAAAGACCAGAAAGTGATTTTTATAAACGGGTTGATGAGTGGTTCCTTACATGACCAAAAGGATGTGGACACCCTAAAGTCACACCCATATAGGATTATTGAACATTGGAAATTATGGATCTTTTTAAACCTCCACTTTTCTTGGAAACTTTCCAATTTACTACAATTCATCCTAGAGAGCAGGAGTGAGTTCGTAGAGTCAGAGCTACAGTAGAGTTGCAAAGTGGGAGAAAGAAGTATTCCCATTTGTTACGTGCCAGGCAGGCTGTACTGGTGTGGTTTTCCTTCCCTCCTGTGTTTCTCTCTTCTCCCTGTCTTCTGCACAGCTAATCAGCAGCTGATCGGTATCTGCCTGTGCACCTGAGTCTGATGGCTGATTGGATCCTCTCACCCTCAGCTGGCCTATCAGCAGCCAGGGCCGACCATAAAGGAGGCACCCAGGAAGTCTTCTCGCTCTCTCACTCTGGGCCTGTTGCTGATTGAGGAACCTGCAATTGACTGCAGTGTTTAGCAACTCATGCTCCTGGTATTGTCTGACCCTTTTGAAAGTGTGTGTGTTGAAAGGTGGAGGAGTTAGGTAAGTCTGGGGTACCCTGTACATTTCTCACCACGTAGCTAACTAATGTTTAGACACACTAGGTTAGCGGATTGTTGCCACCCCTGTATATTGTTTTGTCAAAGTCTTCGTAGTTTAGTTAGTGAGGGTTTTTGTTTGAGTTTTGGTTTCAAAGGATAGATGTAGAGATAGGCCTGGTTTTGTTATGCTTGTTTCTTTTGTTTGGCGCAATCCTTTGACTCCTCCTCCTCCTCCTCCTCGCCAACTAAGGTTTCAGTTATATGTCTGTTCGGTTGTGGGTTTATAAAATAAACCTTTTGTAAACTGTTACGCTGACTCCCTCATTAATTATTGGTTGTATGTTATTGTCTCCAGGTCCCCTAGACCTTAGTGGGGACGTAACACCATTTTAAAACTCTCTGTACATTATACGTTTATGGTATGGCCATTACCTGTAATTATTTTTGACCTAATTTAGGAGTAAGTTTTGCATATCGGTTTGGCATAGCTCATTAAACTACAATACCCATAAAGCCAGACAAGTCCAATAGCAACACCATTATAAAAGTAAAACTGTGTTTAAAATGATTTCAACAAACATCACTAACGTTATTTTTAGCTTCCGCTGCTGTTGGCATGTGTAGCATGCATTTTAAGCTCTGCATCTTGGGAGTTGTAGTTGAATTCTCACTGCATGATTTTATGTACACAGGTTCTGTAAATTGTACTTTTTTTTATCAATGAACCAGATATTTTTCTAACAACAGTTGTTATTCATTTCTATAATGAGGTAAGAGTTTTATGGCAGATTTAAGCCAACTGTGAGTAACCTAACATGAAAGTTAATGGGACATTTATTTTACATCTTGCAACCCATTTCATCCCAGATTTGTTGGATGTGGTTAAGATCAGATTTTAACACTTATTCTATTGCATTATCATGTTGAAACAAAGAAAAAGAGACCTCAAAATATCACCACAAGGTGTTCAAAGCGCATTAAATATCTCTGTAAGACGTAGCATTAACATTTCCCTTCAAGTTGTTGTTTCCACCTTTATATCTGAGTGGAAACTGAATTGTTGGTCTTCATACTCGCATAACACCCCTTAAATCTAAAGTAATTCCCACTCCATGCAGAAATATATACATACTGTCAGTGTGCACTCAGCAGGTTTCCACATCTGTGCAAATGTTTTCCTAAAGTCTTACCGACCCTCTCCACCATCTAACTCTCCTCCTCCAAATCCTGCTAAGCTCTGTTGAATCTAGCAGGATGTATATTAGTTTAAACATAGTTTGTCTGGGATTACCCAACTTCAGCCACACACACACACACACACACACACACACACACACACACACAACATTGACTTACATGCATTTCCTGGAGACTTATCCTAACCTTAACCATAACAAACACATGCCTAACCCTTACCCAAACAAGTCTTCACCCTAAAATGAATGATTCCCCTCATGGGGACCTCCAATTTGTCCCCATAAGGGAGGCGAGTCCCCACACGTGACTATGTAAACAGATTTAGGTCCCCATAAGTATAGTAATGCTAGGCCACACACACACACACCCCCCCCAGAAAGCATTAGCTCCGACCAGAGGAGGCTCACAAATCTTCCTTGCCAAATTGATGCCATTACCTGCGCTCGGCTAAAAAGGTCAGTCTGTTTGGAAAACAAAGAGCGTCTGTCTGCATCTCTTGTTTAGACGTATGGCAAATCACCCAACATAACATCCTGTTGCTTTGATCAACACGCTTGTTTTGTCCTAATCATTTTTATATCAAAAGAAAATAAGCCGTGTGATTATAACTAATAGATCAGAATTTCATTACTTCAAAAGGATTTCAGACTGAGCCCTTTTGTTTTTCATTTCCCACCCCCCCCCCCCCCCCCGTGAAATGAAGAATGAGCTTCTGTCCTAAGACTAAACTGTAGCTGAGAGAGAGAGAGGTAGAAAATCCTGCATTTTCTGGTGGATATATGAAGATTCAGGATTCAAGGCTTTTATTGTCACAGGCTAAGAATGTTAGATGTTTCTGTTACTTCCTGTAAACACTGGACAAACATCTGCAGTCGTTCGTCTGGAGTATTTTTGCAACTGCTTACCTCTCACTGACAGCTGTTGACACTAACATTAGACATGTACAGTGGGTGTGTCTGCAGTGTTTAAAACCTCCAGAGGCCCTCTACAGGTTAGAGACCTGTGTTATCAGGGAAGGGTTACGTTAAAATAAAAGAGGCCTTGTGTTGCTTTTGGGTTTTCCCTTTCCTATAGTGTGTTATATCACATCTGTGTTTTCTCTCCAGAGGGAGTTTCTCTCTTACCATGTTACGCTCACTCTTCTATTGGCTAGAGCTCCAACACTTTGTACTTGATAGGCTGAGGGGCAGGACATCTCTAAGCAGTTTGACCAATCAGAGCAGACTGGGCTCTGGTTTCAGACAGAGGGTGAAAAGTGGTGCTGCAGTATGAGAAAAATAAATAACTTTTTGAACATTAAAGCATGGAGACATGTCACAGTTATGACGACCCCTGCTTTAAGGTCTCCTATGGTGTGTATGGCCCTTTAACGTTCGTCCTCTGCTTGTGCATTGATTGAGGACACCTGACGGATGGCACCGGAGGAATAAGAGGCCAGAGGCAGAGGCCGTTTCTCAATCGCGAGTACACATCAAGTATACTATGTCATAGAGTAGCGCAGAATGCTGGGCATTTAACATGCATTTAAACAGTCCTTCGGCGCCACTCGATGACGTAGTATACCTGAAATAGTTGCAGTAGTTTTACTTGCGATTGAGAAACGGCCAGTGTCTTGATCTCTCTCCCCCGCAGAGGACCGGACCTGGGAGAGCAGCCACGTTGCCTGTTCTTTTTGCTTTGTCTTTTTTTGTTTGGCTTCGGCCACATTAAAGTGGACCTATCATGCTATATTTGAAACATATTGTAGGGCCATACCTATATAAAACATGTCTGTCAAGTCTTTTTTTCAAAATACCAAACAGATCATGCATTTTAGCCATGCCTCATTTCGCTCTATTTGCTCTTTTCCAGCGCTGTTTTTGCAAGGCCTGATTCTGCTTTTTGTGGCAGACTACAGCACCACTTACAGGCCTGGCATATGTACTACAGCGTCTCCAGCGCTTTCGAGCAGCAATGGCCGGCCGTGGCCCAACCC